TGACGCTGTCAAATACTCGAATCTTCTCGGACGGTGTCGTAGCTGCATCCCTCGTCGGAATGGGAACCCTGTCCTTGAGTGCACGCATCGCAGTGAAATACAGTGGACGGCTGTACAGAAAGACGTCCGTCACCGTCACATGAGATTCGTGCCCACCGCACGCCCCAAAGCAAAAACTGAGGACCTCAGGTGGCCTCCCGCCTGTTAACGGCACCTCTTCCGCCCCCAGCGACCGACAATCAATGTGCACAGAGGTCTTGTTGCCTTGCAGCATGAGTGCCACTTGGTATTCTTTCTTCGACACCCAAGTGCTGCTCCGTGTTGTTGTCTTGCCTTCGATCGACGTGTACCACTTCTTGTTGTGGCTGTACGACAGTCCCACGGTATGATTGGACGCAGTGTCCGCCAGCACCGCAGTCATTGGAGGAGTGTTCCCACTCGGAGTCTCTTCGATGGTCACCGACACCACAAGTGTGAAGTCGTGTCCCAAGAATACATGACGCACTTCATCACCCCGAGTGTTCACAGGCCATATTGCCCTGGACTCAAGTCCCGTCAATTGTAACCCATCGCTGTCCTTCACTGCATTCCGTCACTGTCGCATGCAGGCAACGGTACTCGTCGTTCCACGTGCCATCACTGGACGCATCGGACAAAACTGCCACCAGACCTGCCGTGGGTGTAGACACGCTGGAAAAGAAAATGTCCTTTTGCGCCCAAGTACTGAGGACGGACCTGACCGCACTCAGTTCCTCCGTCGGGCGGGAAAGTGAAATGACACGGAACTCACCGTCGTCCCTCCGTTGTAAAGGATGCAAGCTGTCATCCGAGTGCAGCAAGTTGCTGGCGAGCGTTCAATTCGCAGCACTGTCCATGGCAACCGGTCCAACAGAAAGCGTGAGGTTGCTGTCCGTGACCCAAAGGCAGAGCGCAGTGGCCCTTTTCTCCCCCGAGCCGTGCCCTTTCTGAGTGCATAGCATGACCTTCCTTCCCCCAATGGTCGCGGTGATGAGGGCATCCACACGCAGGCTTTCCTTCTGATAGACTCCTGATCGGGCGTTGACCCACACGGCTGAGAGTGTCCCGACTGCCTCCGTCCACTCTGTCCCCATGTCACGCGACTCCTACACCCTCTGGCCGCTCCCGCAGTCAACAATCATGTGAAGTGATCCCTCCCACTCGGTGACGCGGGGTTAAGGCATTCCGCAGGGGAAATTTCCTCAGAGAGCGCCCAGGCACTGCCGTTGTCCGTCGAGCAAATGATCATGGAGCAAACGTCTTCTGCTTCATTCTTCGCCATCAGAGGAAACACAAGCGTGCCATCCTCCATCACAACACCTGCGCCACCAGAAGCAATGAACTCCGTCCAGTCACCTTCGTGAGAAGCAGA